ACACACTCACACACAAAACACACACACGCGCGCGCACGCACTCTCACGCCCTCACACTAACACGCACACCCACACACACACACACACACACACACACATACACACACACACACACACACTCATACGCAATCACATGTGCACACCCATATACGCACACATTCTTCCCTCACACATCCTCTCTTCCACACACATCTGTGTATATAATCATAATAATATAATAGTACGCTTGCACTGACAAACAGGCACAGTCACATGCATAATGTAAATGAACAGTAATATACTTGGCGTCAAAAGAAACCAGACACCCCTTTTTAAGTGTTTTTTGTATTGAAAGACTGATTTTAATCAGAAACTATCCCTCTATAAGGAAAGTTTGAACATTTTACAAATCAATTACACAAAAAACATTTTTTTTTTAATGAACTTTATTTCCTGAAATTTGATCTTTTAATTGTAGGCCCTAAAATGAAAAGTCACAGTTAATACCGCGTATAGCCGCCGTGGGCATTGGCGACTTCTGTGCACCTCTGCGCATGCTTCGCACAAGTCTTTGTATGGGATGCTGTGGAATGTTGTTCCATATGTTTGTAAGTGCTGTATGTAGCTGATCCAAGGTGACCGGCTGAGGTCCTTAAGGCGTCGGGGCACAGTCGGGGCACTTATGGTTCTCCGTCCCTTCCACTCCCTAGCTGTCTTGGTAGCAGGCTGGAAGCGATCTCGTAGGTACAAGACCCGAATGTACCGGTCATGGGCTGGTGTTGTAGCTCTAGGACGACCCGTCCGGGGACCATCCTGCACGGATCCAGACGTCTGCAAACGATTCATTAGTCGATATATCGTGTCTCTTGTCACATTGAAGGTCCTTGCAACATTCGCTACTGGCGTATTGGCCCTCAGCATACCAACTGCCTGATTGCGCTCTTCGTTCGTTAAACGCGGCATGCTGTATCTTTAGATTTAGATGTTTTGAAATGAAACTTTTAACGTTTTATTCTTGGCTACAGATAAAAGATGTGTTAAACCCCTAAAATAAAATTTAAAAAACAAAAACGTTCGAGAAAAATGACAAAACACGGTTTTTAACAAAACAAGACCTAGGCTTTATTAACTGGGCACCTGATCATAAATGCAGACTGATCAGGAGCGTCAAGTGTTCACAATCACGTGTGGAAAATTTCAGCTCAATGGGTTTTCAACTTTTCATGAAACACGCAATTAAATTGTGTCTGGTTTTTATTGACGTTAAGTGTATTATAAACTTTAGAAGTGTTAAGCACAGGGCGAAGTGGAAAAACCCGGTCGCCACTGAGCAACGCCCACTGCTTTTCAAGACTAAAACTAATTATTGACCGTTCCACTGGGATGTAAGCTATTTGTTTATTTACCCTTTAACTTTGACGAGCACGCTATGCCATTAACTAAGCCCAGTTTACGGTCCCAGTGCGATGTAAGCTATTAAGTTATTAACCGTTTAACTTTGATGCGCACTGTATGTTGTTACCTCTTTAAAGACGTCATGGACACATATTGTTGTGCCTGGGCGTCTCCAGACTAAAGGCAAAGTTTCTGCACATATCGAACCATCATACACAAATCAGTAACACGAATTTGCGTAGTTCATAATAATTAGTCATGTTATTGTCTGTCTGTTAAAATTCAGATAAAGAAAAAAAGAGTTAAAAATTGTATACAATGTATTCAGTCACAAAGTTAATTTATGCTTCATGTTAAAAGTGCCCCAAAAAACAGTAGTCTGTCAGCGTTGTGAAATGTGTTTCCCCAAAGAGTTCAGAGGTCTTTACTGTTTGGATTTTTATCCTGTGTTGATTGTTATTTATAGACTCTGTCGTCTGTGTTAATTGTTTGTTTATTGACTCATTGTCGTCTTATTTTATATCTTAAGTGTGTTAGTAAGTTGTCGACGCTGTCGCGGCGATCTGGACTGCTCTTCGATTTTCTTTTCAAACGTCACCTTCGTCTTAATCTCCTGGCGCGCAAAAAAAAAGAGATTACATTGGGCTCCCAGTCAATACAAATTTCGTCCCAGCTTTAATGTGACCTATCTGAAGTACTCATGAATATTTCTGAGGAATTTATTTTTTTATAATATACGAAAAATAAAGTTTTCTGTGACTTTAAATTTATGGACTTTGAATATGAATAAGCCTACGACTCCTGTCTTTACTGGCTAGATCTATGTTTGAGCGAACGATTGTGTTTATTGATTCTTGTGTCGTCTGCGCATGCACGGGATCTCGGTTAGCTCAGTGTTGGTATCATTCTGGAATATGGAGCGGATGACCCTGGTTCGAATCCTAGACAGGGCGTTTATAACTCGAGTTGTTCTGTGGAGTTTTCATGGCTATCAGTCCGTTCGGTTCGATCTTATCGGAATAAGGTGTTGAATTCGGGGGTCCCGCCTCTTTAATATCCTAATAGTGTTGCTTGGGAAGTTAAACCTGTACACTGTTCCCCATGCACATTTCACAGTTTACGAACTAGGTCTATTACGCAGCAGCCTCAGTGGGAACTACCTGCCTGTACTACAAATCTCTCGTCTGTACCTGACCTGAACAAAAAATGAAATATCTTTGATGGCTCATCCCCAGCCACGTCAGTTGTGCTCTCTGTCTCTTTGTGCGCGCGTGTGTTTGCACTTGTGTTCCTTGCTCCCTGTTTGCTCACGAGGCGCGACTATTTACCCGTGTAGGCATCTACAATAGAGAGATCCGTGGTTTGGACGATCAAATTTTGCGGGTGCATGAGGTGTAAGATCTTATCACGGCAGTCGATGGCACGAATACCTAGTTTTTAGTTTTATCTGTTACCCCCCTCCCCCCCCCCCCATCTCTCTCTGTATCTCTGTCTGTCCGTCTGTCTGTTTGCCTGTCTGTCTGTCTGTCTGTCTGTCTGTCTGTCTGTCTGTCTGTCTGTCTGTCTGTCTGTCTGTCTGTCTGTCTGTCTGTCTGTCTCTGTTTCTCTCTCTCTCTCTCTCTCTCTCTCTCTCTCTCTCTCTCTCTCTCTCTCTCTCTCATCTTTTTATTATGAGAAGTCAAAGGGTGTGATAATATAGTTGTTGATTTGAAACGTGCCTCCGGATGAAATAAAAAAAATAGAAATAATGTTATATTATAACGCAACATGTAAGAAAGAGAAAGCGAAAAACACACCCAAAAAAATCTTCGATTGTATTTTTCATTCTAAGTCAAAAATGGGGAACAAGAAGACTTTTTAATAGAATAAGTCTTTCTTTCTAGCTTTGAAACAATTATAATTTTCTAGCAAGTCATTAATAGGCCAGGCGTCATAAATAATGCAGCATTCAGTTTTCCAACAGAATCTGCAATACAAATTATCTATCTTCCTCTTTTTTCAGTAATGACCTCCAGTGCTCGAAAACTGACGTAAGCATAATAGGCTCTTTTCACTAAGCGTTGGCCCGTGCTATTTTGTAAAGATCTACATCCAACACATCTTAATCAGACTCTTTTTTAATCCCACCTTGACACTAACTAAATGTTGTATTACGCTTACGATAAGATGACGTTGAACTTGGAAAACTTATTATTACCTCAGTCATCTTGTTCTGAACACTCACAAAATCTAGCGTAATCTTACTTTTTTCCTTTGTTTTCAAACGTCTCTTTAGTAGTGAAGTCACCTGGTGTGGGGGGCGATAGGTGGGGGATGGGGAGGGGGCACGGGGTTGTAAGCTTGTCCCCAAATAACGTATTATGACACTCGCCACTTCGCCGTCGAACGACTATAACAAGGTACATCCGCCTTTCCTTTGGGTGAGGAGGTCGACGGGTGTGTGCTTGGAGAACTGACGGTTCTGTACTTTTTTCACCGCCTTTTCATGTTCCCTTTCTTTTTTTTTTCAAAACAGTTGGAAACCAAATTTGTTGGATCAGTGGTCAACCAGGATTAGAAGTCGTCGCCAGGTGATCGCTAGAGAACGGGTAAGTTTGGCCATTGCTAAAATAAAAGATTTTCTTTAAACTTCGCACTTGAGTAACTGTTCAAAATTTTAGGATTTTTTATATTTTTTTTTGGTGTTTTCTCTTTTCGCCATCGTCTCGTAGCTGTTTGTGGTAGCATTTAGGTAATTTCCAGATGAATTTTTGAAAGAACAATGTCGAGTCGAAAAGCAGGAGTGTTTTCAAAAATAAATACTTTTGAATACATTTGTCCTGGCTACCTGATTAAAAGGCAAAAACTAAAGGTGATATACAGCCGCCTCCGCTTGTGTTGAACTCGCTTAAGTTGTTCTTCGGTTAAGTTGATCTTTTTCTCGGGCCCCAGCACCTCTTCTTCTTTACAGATCCCAGGGGTTAAGTTGAACTTCAAATGAATTGGTCTTTTTTCACTCCCCTAACGACATTAACTCTTCCGTAGTCGACTGTATTAGTAGCAACATCACAAAATTAAAATAAAAACTATATAAAATAATTTCACTGAATATCAACGTACGTTTATCTGTCTGCCTGTTACATTCGGATGTCGGTATGATTTTTTTTCATTCTAGACCGTTTGACTATAATCTCTGTCTCTCTGTCCCTTTGTCTCTCTGTCTCTCTCTGTCTCTGTCTCTGTCCCTGTCTCTCTGTCTGTCTGTCTGTCCTTCTGTCTGTCCGTCTGTCTGTCTGTCTGCCTCTCTCTCTCTCTCTCTCTCTCTCTCTCTCTCTCTCTCTCTCTCTCTCTCTTTCTCCTTCTCTGTCTGTTCTTCCCCTCCCCTTCTCGCTCTGTTCTTCTCTTCTCCCCCCCCCCTCTCTCTCTATCTCTCTCTCTATCTCTCTCTCTCTCTCTCTCTCTCTTTCTCTCTCTCTCTCTTTAATTACCCTTCCGCTCTCTCTTTTTTCTTTCTTGTCTATCTCTCTCACTCTCTCTATCACAGATAGATAGACAGATAGATAGATAGATAGATAGATAGATAGATAGATAGATAGATAGATAGATAGAGGTACTGGCTCAGAAATAGGAGTTTGAATTTATATATTTATTATGAATAAATTTAAGAGCAATAGGTGAAATGCAAAAACGAACCAATTCAATATTTAAATATTTGTGAGCAAAGTTAAGATTGATAAAGAGATTGGTGAAAGAAAGTACTGGTTGATAGAGAGATGAACGGTGAAAGAATTACCAGGAAGAGGAAGAAAAACATGTCTAGCTGAATGAATGCTTCGTCGGTTGTGACGTTGTTCGGGTTCCATAGCTCGTAGAAACTTTTCTATCTCCCCATTCCCTCTCAGTGTGCTGTGTAAATTTATCATAACATCATCCTTCTGGACAGAGCACAGGAAAGCGTTTTCACCATAATTTATGGAGAGCGTTTGATCTACAATGAGCCAATGTTGTAAACCTATCTATCTATCGGTCTATCTATTTTCTATCTATCTATCTATCTATCTATCTCTCTATCTATCTATTTTTCTGTTTATCAATCTACCTATCTATCTGTCTGTCTATCTATCTCTCTATCTATCTGCTGTTGAGATGTACTGGGTACAAAATTGTATACTTTTTTATGTCAGTGTTTTCATTTGTGGTATTAGTTGCGTGCGCTGAAGCGCTATTTAGTCAAAATTCACATTCTAAATGTTGAAACTAAAAAAGCAATAAAAGATACACAAGACCGATACAATGAAATAGCTTTTTCCCTCTCTCAAAAAAAGTTTTGCTTTCAGGGTACCGAACATTTGAACAGCTTGCCAGCACCTTATTTTATAAAGTTCTATCTGACATTTTTGGCTGTATTGAACAACCGAAACCATAAGGTCAGAAATAAAATGTTCTGTCTGCTCTATCAAAATCGTACGATTTTTCGGAGTCATTATCAAGATATACAAAGAATTCCTTTCGAAAAACTCGACGTATTGTGAAACTCAAAATTGTGGGTGGTTGGCGGGTGCTCTGGTGCGGTTCGCTCCTTCTTTTCTATCAAACATCTATCCTATTTATCTCTCTTGCTCTTTTTTGTGTTTGTTATTCTCTTGTGACACCTTCAAATCTTGGCCACTTATGACCTTACTGTTTTGCTAGTTCCGTAAAACTCTAACTAAAACTACCAAAATCCTCCAAATTCTTTACGTCAAATTTCACGAAACTAGGCGTTGGAATTTGTAATTCTAAGGTAGCGAACGATTAAAAGTTATTTTCTGTCAACAGTGAGACTGTGCTGGGACTAGGCAAGGTACAGTCAACAGACGACCCGTTTTGTCTCGGCTTGTGCAAAAATCTCAAGATATCATGGCTGCTCGTCAGCAATTGGCAGCCCTAGTGTTGTCTGCCGTGTGTGCTTTGCATGTCACTACAGGTAGGCCATGAATTGTTATTAAAATGTTGGTTCCTTGGTTGGATAATAGGTATCATCGCAGGTGATACAATACCATAGCTGCTCCTCCCTCCTCTCCAGGATCCATGAAAGGATTGGCTTGTTGATCTTGCTAGTCATTTGCTGGTTGGATATTCTTCTAGCTTTTCCTCGCAGGTTGCTGTCCCTCCCCGACCGTCTTGAGACATCGCGGCTTCTCTCTGCCTTTGTATCATGTGTGCTGTGGAGCTTTCATCTTCTTGGTGGTCGTTGAACCATTTTGTCTATGCTGCCATGAATGTTGGTGGATACAATTGCATGGTGCCGCCAATCTCAGTCTGGCCGGCTTGCTCATCAGCGTGTTCATTGCTTCGAACTCCTACTTGACTAGGGCTAAAGATTCAAAAGTAACTATGTGGCGTTGGTGGCCTCGTGGTTAGGCTACGGGACTCGTAATCGTGGGGTTGCGGATTCAGGGGTTCGAGCCGGGGTCCCAACGTTGTGTCCTTGGGAAAGGTACTTTACGCTAAGTTTCCTCACTTCACCCAGGTGGGAATGGGTACCCGGCCATTGAGAGCGACAGATCTTATCAGTATAATATTAGCGTTTTAGCGCCTATAAATGGCTGTTTGCACTATATGCTACCCAGGAAGTTGAGGCTGTTTCAGAATGCTCTCATGTCTGCTGGGGCAATAGTGTAGATTGTGAAGCGCATAGAGCTTGCTGTTGAGCGGGGATTTGCGCTGCACAAAAAGGTAACTATTATTACTACCCCTTTTGGCAATGTCCCTAATGTAGTCCTCCTTTAACCCCCCCCCCCCCCCCCCCCCTGTGCCAGATGCACAAGATACAGGCCAGACTCCCGTTGTCGGGGAGCATGAGCTAGTCCCTAGTGTAGTTATAATCTCCTGTTAATGCACGGGAGGTCACTGGGTTTCTGATGTGGGATGCTTATCTGTTCTTTTTTTTTTAATTTAGTGTTACTGGGCGTTAAACTATTAGATACCGCCGCTTCATTCATTCATTCAGTGCCAGATCTGCGGCAGGCATCGGCGATCATGGTTCTCCATTCATTCCTTTGCTCGGATGGTCTTGAAAAAGCTACGTTTCCCTGATCTTTCCCTATTACCGATATGTTTAGATCCCCTAAGTAGGTTGCTCTGGGCCTACTCATGCCTTGTTTGTCTCTTAAATAAGCTAATAGTGTTGATAGGGGCGTTAATCCTATAGATGTACCAGTTATTTCCACCACTACCACAGGTCTGGTGAAGCTACAACCCCGGATAATAGGCGGCGCGCCTGTGTTTGACCGCTGCCGGGCGCCCTTCAACTGGATGGTGGGACTACAGGCTCAGTCCAGCAGGGGTCCGGTCACCGTCTGCTCGGGCGTGCTCGTGTCAAGGACGTTGGTCGTCACAGCAGCCAGATGTGCGCCTTAGTAAGTCGCTACTTTTTTTTTCTTTAAATCTTTCTTTCTTTGTGTCTTTCTTCCTTTGCATGTGGTTAAAGAGCGCCACTGGCGGACGTTCTACCTTAGTAAATCACTACTTTCTTTTCTTTCTTCCTTTCTTTTCTTTCTTTGTTGGTGGTTGGTTTCACTCTGTTGTTTCTGTCTGTCTGTCGTACCTTTTCCTAGCACTGAATTATGATCTTTATTGTGTCGGTGTGCTTCTCTTTACTCAAACAACCAATATATTTTCTTTAGTTTTTTCTAGACATTGTCTGTCCACTACAGAACGTAGCCCTCCAACAACCACCTCCACTCTGTTCTATCAGCTATTTTTCGTGTCCATGTTGAACCAGTCCGCTCTCTGAAGACGTCATGTTGCCACCTTCTTTCTGGTCTTCTTCTCGGTCTTTATACGGTTCTCAGCAGCCTCCGTCCAATGCATCTTTGCCTCTATTTGTTGTCAGCATTACTTACGAAAAACAGGTCGCTGGACTCGCATACGTAAAAATCAGTTGCGCTGCAGGTTAAAGCACCAGCAGTCTACTACTCTATTCTTGGGAGAAATAGGGTGAAGTCGAAATCATTTAAGATGGCCACTCATTGTCGAGGAGAAAACTGGTTGTTTCAGACAGGTGGACATCTTAGACAGTAACATTATACGTATATATTTATTATTTTTTAACGGAATGGGTGAAACGGAAAGAGGTCGTTTGAACAGGTGGTTGTCTTGGACAGGTAGCAGTTGAAGCAGATGTGACTATTATATTATTATTTTCATTCTTCAAAGTCACGTGTGTCTGTTTGGAGTTTAGGGGGTTTTACTTTTTTCTTTCTTTCCCTCTGTTGTTTCTAACTGTTAATTGTCGGCCTTGCTTGTTTCCTTGCACTAAAGGACATTATATATTTAATAATAATAATAATAATAATAATAATAATAATAATAATAATAATAATAATAATAATAATAATAATAATAATAATAATAATAATAATAATAATAATAATAATATTAAAAAATAAATAACAATAATATTAATAATAATAATAATAATAATAATAATAATAAAAATAATAATAAAAACAGCAACAGCAACAACAACAACAACAACAACAACAACAACAACAACAACAACAACAACAACAACAACAACAACAACAATAACAACTGCATTAATATAGCACATATCCCCACTCTATAGCCAGCTCTGTGCGCTTTACAACTGCGGGCCTCTCAGAAACATTCTCGGCTTCCCAAGAAGCATACAGCGCACGCAGCTTAAGCTCTCAAACGCCAATAATAATAATAATAATAATATTAATAATAATAATAATAATAATAATAATAATAATAATAATAATAATAATAATAATAATAATAATAATATAAAAAAAACTATAATAATAATAACAATAATTATAATAATTATAATAATCAACAATATGTTGTGTCGATGTGCTTGTCTGTACTCAAGCCCACAGCCGAGGTAAAGATTCAGTCAAAAAGATTTTTTTGTTGTACGTTTTCTTTTCTTTTCCAGTATGAATGCTTTTTCTCTTGGTTTTTTTTCTTTGGATTGTATCTATCTATCTATCTATCTATCTATCTATCTATCCATCTATCTGTTTGTTTGTCTGTCTGTCTGTCTGTCTGTCTGTCTGTCTGTCTGTCTGTCTGTCTGTCTGTCTGTCTGTCTGTCTGTCTGTCTGTCTGTCTGTCCTTGTGAATCATGTATGTATGTATGTATGTATGTATGTATGTATGTATGTATGTATGTATGTATGTATGTATGTATGTATGTATGTATGTATGTATGTATGTATGTATGTATGTATGTATGTATGTATGTATGTATGTATGTATGTCAATGAAAACAACTCTTTTCCTCTCCCTCCATTTGCTCTCTCTCTCTCTCTCTCTCTCTCTCTCTCTCTCTCTCTCTCTCTCTCTCTCTCTCTCTCTCTCTCTCTCTCTCTCTCTCTCTCTCTCTCTCTCTCTCTCTCTCTCGCCCATCCTCCTTTCGGCAAATGTAACTGACTCACTTTAACCCCTCTCTTTTGTGTCGTTCTTGGAAAAGCCTGTCTTTACCACAAACAATGGCGATCATTGGTGAGAGAGACTTGGAAATGACGGACCAAGACCAGCAGAACATCCCGATCGACAGCGTCAAAGTCCACAGGAACTACAATCGCACTACTCTAGGTGAGTGGTTGGGTGGTTGGCGGGTGCTCTATTGCCACAACTACAACAATTAGCCTACTACTACCAGTAGTAGTTGTAGTAGTTTGTCATTGTTGCTGCTTTTCTGTGTCTGTCACTCTCTAGTAACACTCCTATTCTTCGGCACTTATATATTGCATTATCTATTTGTGCTGTAGGTGCCGTAAAACTCTTACTTAAAAACTCAAGGTGAGTGAGCCTACAGGTCCAACTCAACCTGCCCGGCACACCCATAGAATTGATTGATTTATAATATTATTATTATATCCTAGACTGGGCACTGGCATTTACAATGAAAAAAAAAAAGAATTCAGCAGCCATTTTTCGTTGTAATATGCATTGGGGGGGGGGGTAATACTCTACCATTGCCCGACCCTTGTTTGCTCCCTTGCCTACTCTCTACCCCTCCCCCACCCGGGCAGTGCTACTGACTGAAGTTGTCTTAGACCATTCCAAAAAAGGGGGGAGGGGGTATTAACATGTTCTAATGCACCGTAGAATCGTAAATTCTACTTCTTTTGTATTTTTGTTACTCTCTTGTGAATTGCAATTTCCGGGGTGCCTTGATAGTCGAAGCAGACTGTGTGCTGTTGAGGCTGGAGAGGTGAGCAGAGTAAGCCTGATGCCCAGTTTGGACTTTTCTGTTGACGTCCCCTCCTCCTCTCCCCTTGGCGCTCATATGACCTTATGCAGTTGCGAGCACCGTAAAAACCTTACTTAACAAAAACTCTCTCTCCACCAGCCAACAACATCGCGTTGATCCGCCTCTCACGACCAGCTACGATCACCCGCTGTGTCCAGCTCGCCGCACGCTACCAAGACGACCCGGAGGCCTGCAATGACGTGGACAGTACCTGCACCATGGTGGGCTGGGGGCCTTACACAGGTGAGTAGTTGTTGTTGCTGTTGGTAGTGGTGATTGTGTTTTGTAGTTGTTGTTGTTGTTGTTGTTGTTGTTGTTGTTGTTGTTGTTGTTGTTGTTGTTGTTGTTGTTGTTGTTGTTGTTACTGTTGGTAGTGGTGGTGATGATGGTAGTTGTTGTTGTTGTTGCTGTTGTTGTTGCTGTTGTTGTTGCTGTTATTGTTTCTGTTGTTATTGCTGCTGTGGTGGTGGTGGTGGTGGTTGGTTGGTTGGTTGGTTGGTTGTTGTTGTTGTTGTTTTCTTTTGTTGTTGTTGTTTTCTTTTGTTGTTGTTGCTGCTGTTGTTGTGTTGTTAGTAGCTTTAGGGGCATTGGTAGGTCTTCAAAATCGATGTCTAATTTCCAAAGAAGTTGAGATGATTTCAGCGTGTTATCTGGTCTGGTCTACTGTTGTAATAATAATAATAGCAACAACAACAACAACAACAGCAGCAACAACAACAACATTGATAATAATAATAATAATAATAATAATAATAATAATAATAATAATAATAATAATAATAATAATAATAATAATAATAATAATAATAATAATAATATATAGATTTAAGGCGCATAGAACTCGCTGTTGAGCGGGAATTTGCGCTGTTACAAATGCCATTTATTATAATCTTACTATGATTATAATAGCAAACGAATTATAATTCCAACAACAGTATTATAATAACTCCACAGAGCAGAGCCGCCCGACCAACTCCCGTCTACCCAGGTCGGCCACCGTCAGGGTTTACGATGACCTCGTCTCCAGGATCATCTCTAACAACGACCGCGGCTCTGACGTGTCCGCGGGCAACAGACTGGCGGAGGCGGTGGTCGATGGAGTCAAGGCTTGTAATGTAGGCTATTCCCCTAGTCTTTTAGTTTTAGTAAGAGTTTTACGGCACTTGCAACACAATAAGGTCATATAAATACCGAAGATTTGAAGTGTTATAAAACAGTAACAAACTTCAAAACGGCATTCATGATTCTCCTTTCATTTCTCTGCTCGGATGTTATCAAAATCCCACATTACCCCAGTCACCCATCCGTTCGGTTTTCCCAACAATATAAATGTTCAAAGGGTCTTTTGTTGATAACATAATAAGATCGAAAATATCAAAAATACCATGTAACATAATCCATTACAGCAGGATGAAACATTTATCTGAAAGTCGGTTGTTTCTGACTTTGCCTTTTTGCAGAAATTGGAGTGACAACTATTGACTCAGATAAAATTATATCTTTATAACCGTTAAGACTCATCACAGTTTTGAAGTCTTGACGTGGAGTGTATTAGCAAATTATGCTAATATGCCTAGTTTCAACTGTTGTCCTTATGTGTAGATAATTCATGCGTCGATTAAAAAGTTCTTCGTTCTGTGGTTGAACCGGTTTTCTTGTACCTATTTGAAATATTTTTTCTTGTTTGTTTGAGATTTATTCTCAGTAATCATACCATCGATGAAAAGCTCTCAGAGCTTAAATTTGTATGAGAAAGAGCGCTATACAAATGCAATCATCATCATCATCATCATCATCATCATCATCATCATCATCATCATCATCATCATCACATCATCATCATCATTATCATCATCATCGTCGTCGTCGTCGTCGGCGGCGTCGTCGGCGTTATTTTATCATTATTTTTTTTAATTACCTATCATTATTTGTTGTCCGCCAGCTTGACTGGGGAGGAGCGGTCAGCTGCATGCGGAGGGGCTACCAGGTGTTGCGTGGGCTGATCAGTGACCACAACTGCATGACCGGCGGCACTCCCCCACCCATCCAGATCACAGACATACCCACCTTCCAGATCTGGCTGGACACTTGCCAAGATAACTGGGACACTTGCCCGTCACAGTGAGAGAGTCTTTGTCTGTGGATGAAAAGACGACTTTCCATGACAGAGAGGAATGTTTGTCTGTGGAAGAAAAGCCAACTTTTCCCATCACAGTGAGGAAATCTTTGTGATTGAAAAGCCGACTTGCCTGCCACAGTGAAGGAGTCTTAGTTTGTAGATAAGACCGTTTTTCTTATCACAGTAAAGAGCTATGTGGATGAAAAGCCGTTTTTCTTTCACAGTGAGAAGTATTTGCTGTGGATGAAAAACTGACTTTTCTCATCACAGTGAGGAATTTTTGTCTGTGGTTGAAAAGCCGACTTTCCTTCACAAAGAGGAATGTTTGCCTAATGTTGAAAAGACGACTTTTCTTATCACGTGAGGGAGTCTTTGTCTGTGGTTGAAAAGACGACTTTCCATCACAGAGAGGAGAATCTTCGTCTGTGTTTGAAAAGCCGACTTCCCATCATTACAGATAACTTTTCCGGGAAACTTCTAACATGTCACTGATGATGAATAAACTACTGAGTTTTGAAATTAAAACGTCTTTTCTTTCTCTTATGTGTCATTAGTATCGATGTTTTGATTACTGAAGAATGTTTAATAGTCTTTCCATATTATTTTGGTATATTTGTTTCTAACAATGTCAATAAAAGCCTGAAAGTTGTACACAAAAATCTGCCTTTTTCCACCATTACCATTTCAATCAATTTCTTGAACAAAAGAATGATATAGGCCTACATGTTATAGAAATTTTAGAAAAGCCAAACAAAACGAAAATGTTAAGATAATAAAAATACAACACTCATGAAATCTTAACAAAAAAACTTCTTCTTTTTTTTTTGGGGG